TACAGTGACCGATGAAAAAATATTGCCGTAAACAGTTTATTTTGCGACACCACGAAACAAACGATAGCGTAAAATGAAACGATAGACTTTTTATATCGTCATCTGATATTTATCGTTATATCGAACAGCTCTATGCACATCCCTAATTAACATGAACACACACAGCTGAGTGCATACATTTGTGTGTGTGTTTTACGTTATTAAATCATGAAAAGCTACACGATCCTTCATGATCAGTCATACTTACCTAGCTGCCATGGCAGGTGCAGGAAGGAGCTAGTCACCTCGTCCTGCTGAAGATAGAATTTAGCACCAATTGTCGCCTCCTTGTTTTTCCTTCACCCTTTGATAGATGACTGTGCATGTAAGTATATCTGGTCCACATGTAGTTAAGGCAGTGCAAGAGTCTGTGCTGCCTTTTTAATAGAAAATACGTGAACTTTCCTGAATTGACTGTGTAATCAATAAAAACTTTTCTCATTTGGTTTACTTTTTTAAAAATTAGAATCCTGGTGATTTTCCTTTTTGGATGGAGTCATGCAGGAGTAACCCTTAAAGTCACTCAAGGTGTTTGTGCCTAATCCTGATGCAGTCAGAAGCTCTTCTCCATCTATATTTACAGATTAAATAAAGTTTTACTCAAAGAAAATCTTGAAACTCTGCAGCCTTCTTGGTAATAGCCGTGAGAGAGCCTTTACTTTCAGCTTGGGTCATTTTGTCAGTGGTAATAAGTTTATAATCTAAGTTTATGTTTTGGATCAGGGTAGAAGATAACCTCAAAATCTGTCATGGAAACAAAAACAAACACCAGAGTTTTTTGGAAGCAGGAAGACAGGGACTCAAAATGGTTGAAAACATCCATCACGAATGCTGGTTTGACCTCCTTATTTAAAAGTACAAGTTTAAAAACTACCCAGCAACTAAAAACTGTTAAAAGTCTTTGACCAAAGTGCCTCCTTGGGTATTCTTGGCCAGCAGGAATCCTTAAAAACGACCCTTAGCAGCTGGACAAGCCTCTTTTGTTTCAGCCCTCTGTAAATCTACTAGGATTTTGCTTTGGTACATTCGTGCGGTAAGATTACCATTTAATGTGAGGGCTGAGCCGACTCCTGTACTGGAACACCGGGCAACAGTCAGGCCAAAGGAAGCCAAGGAAAAAAACCCACTGTGTTTAATATAAACCAGTTTGTTTGAGCATTAAAACAAGTCTAAAACAAGGATTATGTGGCTTAATTTTCCTTTTCCTTCCTTCTGGAAACGTATCCTCCCTGCCTCGTGACTCTGTCCTGACACTTTTACTCGCCTCACATTCCTCCAGCCCACTTTGCATTCATGGTCATTCACAGCCAGGACGGTGTAGGTGAATGTAGAGTGTGGAGGAGGCTGTTTCTAGATGCCAGACATTTCCTGTGGACCCTTCTGTAGTTGTGTCATTTATATTGTTGTCAGTGTAACTGATTCAGAGCAGTGTTCGAGGAATATTATTCAGCTCAGATGCTCCAGATTATATTTACAATTATATCAGTTCTTTCTTAAAATTATAGCAGCATCATCATCACTGTCTGTTACTTGTAGACAGCCACTTCACTTTGAATATGTTTTAATCACTGCAAAGATTTTCTTGTAAAACAAAGGATGACCTAGCAAAAAACGTTTGGGAGCCACTGGGTTAGGGTATGTTCATGCTTTGGAAAATGTGACTGAGAGCATACATTTTGGACTTTTAACTGTATTTTCATAAGCTTTACAGCTTTTTTACAGAGAGAGAAATATATGGTACATGTTCTGTGCATTAGCCACCTTGTCCTGCTTTGTGATCAAAGTGGGCTAAACAATGAAAGAAAGCCGTGTTAAAGGGAGGATGATCTTTAAAAGAGAAGAGCTAAAATGGCTTATTTCAGACAGGAAGGTCCAGCATGAGGTGATCAAGGATTATTATGAATGTCGACTCAGAGAAATAAGCAGAATAGGTTCTGTTTAAACTATAAAATCTGTATGCCATATTAATAAGCATCAAGTTATTTCCAAGAATTGACTATGCCTGAACATCGTGACACATCAGGATAAAAGAAATAATTTGTATAATTCACTTTGAACATCTTGTAGTTTTCAGTGGAAACACTAAGAGACTAAATTTGCATCGCTATGTTCAGGAGAGCTGCCGGTAAATTAAAAATAACCAAAACCCCTTCCTCTGCTGTAATGACTGTGACGCAGTTTGTTTAGTTTTGTTTTTAACCACAGTGGGTAAATTGGATTCTATAAATAAAAGTAATCAGTGCTTCTGGTTCAGTGTGATTTCTATAATTAACATCTAACTGTGACCCTGCTTTGTCTGGCGTGTCATTAATTGTTTATAGCAGGGATTTTAAAACGCGGTGTGGTGTTGATTTTATTGATGAAACACTGAGTCAGGCTGAAGGAATGCGAGGAAAAGATAAATGTAAGTGAAACGAAAAGGGCTGCTTCTGGATTTATGAGATTTTATGAGAAACCCCCCACTGAATGTCTTATCAGTGCTTTTGAGCTGTTACATCAGTAAACGATGCTGATTAAGTCAAACTGCAACTGAACCTGATTTAAAATAAACTTTTTTTCTCATTTTATTTACAAGGAGAGTGATCGAGCCCAAATGTTCAAACTGTAAAACTGTTTTCAGTTTAAGAGGAAAACTGAAAACGCTGTCACCTGCTTCATGGCTCTCGTAGGAAAACACCCCAGTTTTCAGACTGAAGACTAAATCTCTTATGGCAAAAGCAGAGTCACCTCTAGATATAAGCCTCAGTTTTAAAACATGCTGAGCTCCGAGATGGTTCACAAGGTGTTCAACATATCAGCTGTGCAGCTGAGACCCAGACGAGTCACTGAGACGAGCATTTCTGTCCGTTTTCACTGGAGAAACCTTCAAATGAACTTTAAGATTTCATTTTCACCGACATTTTGAGTCTAGATTCAGCTTCTAGTCATGTTGAAATAGACAGTGGTGTTTCACACTTGGTAGTTTCCTCTGTTGAAGCCATTTGGAGATGGCATTGAACTCCCCTTTTTAGAGCATCAGCCTCTCACTTATTTTTCTACTAGCACGGACTGTTTGGTTTGCACGGCAACACTTACGGGAACATGAATAGGAGCATTATTCTGGGAATCGATTCGCCCGATAGAGCGAGGAGCTGCCCTTGAGCGCTGCATTTTTCGGGCCGGAGGTGATGGTGGCGCGGCCTCTGCGGTTTGGCTGATAAGAGCCGCTCCTGCTGTTGAGCCTCTCAGCTGCAGCTGTGCCTCGGCCATTATATCCAGCAGGATTTACAGCAGTCCAGGGGTTTGTCTCCTCTCTTTATCTGTCACATACACCCTCTCTCAGCTGTCAGGGTCTCTTCAGGGTTACTGAAGGTCACCTTCTGTGTACAGGACTCTTGTTTATTGGGCAGAGGTTAGATATCCCAGTTAAAGCCAGTTTGATTTGAGTCTTTTTTCTGCGTTTATGAAAACATTGTTGGTTATCAAGTGTGTGAAATGGCATCGCCTTCTGTCCATAATCTGTTTGTTAGTAGGCTGGTTCTGACATAACACTAAATGATTGGGCTGCAGCTCACGGTTATGCTCATTGTTTTTTGGCCATTAACTGTTACTGTTTCACTCCATACACGTAAAATAGTGAAAAATATCACAGTTTCTCCCAATTTAGTCTTTGTATTATTACTCAGAGAATGTTAGCTGTTTGTTGACATTTAATTACAGCTCCAAACGGTGCTGAGCGTCTCTCAGCCCCGAGCTGAGATGCTGGAAATGGACTTGAATGACTAATTCTCTGAGGATCCACGATAAGTGGCCGTGACAGACGACTGTGGCACTGCATGCCATTCCTCCATAGTGATTCACACCACCGTGGCTCTTCCTGTTAGGTTTTAATATGTTCATCTTTCTTGGCCCCTCAAACAGCTAATGTTTATTTTACAGTGGTGTTTCCCCACTCACAGACAGTCCAGGTATATTTGGTTGTTCAATTTAGCATTTTAGAAAAATTATCCAACCGTGATCAAGTTTCTAGAAAACTAGAAAAAAGTGCTTCTTGCTCTTATTTTGAAAATGAACTCATCTAATTATGTTCTCATCTTTATTGCTTGGGAGCTGATCTTTGCTTACATGTTTAAGTCATCCTCCAAAGGTCCATTTAGGTCAATTAAATTCAAGAGGCAGACATCCTTATTGCTGATATCTCTAAAACTGGGCAAGCTAGATGGGGAAACAGCACTGCAGGCCAGCTGAAGAACTATCCCAGTGCATGTTGCATTGTAGGCAGCTAAGCTAGAGTTTGGTGTTTTCAAGGAAATTAGTGTTAAAGATCTAATTTTACTCATAAGCCGTCAGAGGTAACACTTTTGTTTCTGTTGTGTAACCACGAGCGGTGCTGATGAGGCATCAGGTGAAGTGGAATTCGTATCCTTACTTTATGATGATCCCCGTCAGCATCACAGTTCATGGTTTGTTTCATCTTCGTTTTTCATGTTGAGGAGAAAACAACAACAAACTGTTGTGGGTGGTGACCTGCAGCGGCCCACAGAGCCCTCATTCAGGCAACAAGCAGCTTGTGTTAATTCCCCGTTTGGGTAAATGCAGGCTGCAGCCTGTATTGTCGACCCAGTTATCCAGCAAGCTCTGTTTGGTAACAAGCTATTGTTTGTTTGTGCACGCACATGATTCACGAAGTATGACTCAGAGAGAGGGACCGAGCAGAAAGGAGAGGGCCAGGTCACACAGATGGTCATAATTAAAGGGTTTAGTCCCAGAATTAGATGCCGGACATTTTTAACTCCACGTTCTGCACGGTAAAGATGGCTGCTCCTCTCAGCCTTCAGCTCCCTCTAATCTGGTCCCTTAAACACTTATTTGAAGCGCTTGTTCCAGCATGAAGAAACCGCCGTGGATCCTGGGACAAAATTTCACCCAAACGAAGTCGACAGTTGGAGTAAAATGTTTTGTTTTCCTTGTCTGCCTCTCAGAGCTCGACGCAGGAGATCGGCGAGGAGGCCGAGGAGGACGCCATCTTCACCATCACACTGAGGAAGGTGCAGCTTCACCAGTCGGCCAGCAAAGGGCAGCGATGGCTGGGCGTGGACACGGACTCCGCCCTGAGCCTCTACGAAACCTGCAAGGTGCGGACCATCAAAGCCGGCACTCTGGAGAGGCTGGTGGAGTACATGGTGTCGGCGTTCAAGGGCAAAGACTCCACCTACGTCACCATCTTCCTCTGTACCTACCGATCCTTCGCCACCACCAAGCAGGTGCTCGATCTCCTGCTCAACAGGTACGGTGACACCAGACGACACCGGGTGGAAAAGCAGATTTGTGCTTTTTCCAGACTTTTCTGATTTAAATTCTTAATCAGAAATGAATGTGAATACATTAGAAGTTGTGTTTAAGTACAAAATTTAGACACTTTACTTGAATATTTTTGTTTTGTGACACATAATCATGCTCAGATCCATTATTATAAAACAAACAGAGAAAAAATTCAGTATATCAGAAGATTAAAATAGCAGATTTACTTAGAAATAAATTCTCCAAATTACAAGAAACAAGGGAATATTTCTTAAGATTATAAAGGACCAAAAGTGCCAAAATGATCACACTGTAAATGAACCCCATCATGCCTACACACTGTATACAGAGGACTGACGTAACATTAATTAACAGACTTATAAATTACTAGAATTTCTCTCAAAAAAGCTGAACCTGGTACCCTGAGTGATATCATGGTTAATTCAGCTGTTCAATGCAAAATTATCCAAAAGGCACCAACAGCACACACAGCTGAATATTTCAGTTAAGTGAGTCGAATTAACGGAGATAAGGCCCGGGACAACCGCCTGCGCCTGGACACCTGTCAATCAAAAGGACCACACCCCTGAAAAGCCAATAAAACAAAATATGTCCACCCAGCAGTTGTGATGAAGGGAAAAACCGCACATACACAGCAGATTTGTAGTAAATGTGTTCGTTTGTGCTGTGAAGTTGTATTTTTTTAAACGGCCATCGTGCACTTAGTGGATGGACCCTGCGCAGTGGTCAGAGGTCTACAACTACGACTAGTTTTACTACTCCTGTGCTTTTGCTACAATTGTTGTACTGCAAAGCAAAATGTAGTAAAAAATAAATATGATACAATAATAAAACTGCAATAAAAAATAAAAAGATGCCGATGACAGTAAGGCTCAATGAGTTTAGCAGTATCACCGTATGTGACCCACATGCCGAAGGCTACTGCAGGGGCGTGGGTTCAAGTTTGCCTCAGGACATTTTCTGAGTGTTTCATGTTTTTCTGTTCAGAATAATTTTAAATATTGCTCAGTATTACAAAACACTGTTACTAATGCCCCTGTGCTTTTAAAATGTTTAGCTTATTAGGGACAACAACAAAAGAGAGAGAGAGAGCCATCAAACCTTGACATGAAAACTCAGACTGAAGCTTCTTTCTTTTTTGGTTGTTTTGTTCATTAGTTTGGTTCATAAAATGAAACTGGTGTTTTTTTTCTTTCTGTTTTTAGGTATGCCAAGCTCCAAAATGTGCCTGCAGCCACAGCACACAGAGTCTCCCAGGACGACTGCACAGAGCTGAGAAAGTAAGCGTGCTGCGACCTTCAGTGTCGAGCTTCCAACATTAATCACAGAGTACATTCACAGCACCGAGCCTCAACCCCCCTCCTCCCCGGCTTAAAGGGATCCTTTTCTTCCCCGTGGCTGGATACCTGTCAGACTGAGGGGGCTGTTTGGGTTCAGGCAGCCCTAAAAATGTGATAAATCACAGAAAAATAAACAACTTATTCATTTTCTTATTCTCTTTTAAAAGAGCTTTAGTTAAATCCTTAAAGTCAAGACAGTGTTTTCTGAGAAATGCTCCCATTGACTTCAGGTAGCTGTTGTTTTAAACTTCATGTAAACATTGTGCAGTTTTAATTTTTTTCTAAATAAATGAGATATCTTCAGATACTCAAATCCGCGCACTGGGAACATGATTTCATGAGTAAAAACCACCTCCTCCATCTTGTAGCCATGTAGTGACCCTGAATGCATTTTATGATAATGCATTATGCATTATTTGCGTCATCCTTATATCCTGAATGAAGGCTGTATTACTCAAAGGTCCCATTGTTTCAAATCTAAGCCAAAATAAAGCTGTATTAAACTAAGTGGAGGGTCATTCATGTTAATGACATCGAGCTTTAAGCAGTAGAGGCTCTTTTAGGGTTTCAAGATGGCTCATTAATTCAGTAAAACAGGGCTTTTTTTTTTTTTACTCTTGTGTAACAGAAACCATATTTGTTTAGATTTAGTTTGAATCACAAGAATGGAAATAACAAAGGATGGAAAAACAACCTGACCATAAGAGTCACCAGTTCAGATAAACACTAACATACTGTAGTAGATAATTCTCTCAAGCGCACCTTAAAATTGAAAATGTGAGAATGTCTTTCTATAAATTTTGTTTTTCTACTTTCATATTGTTGCTTTGTGGGTTTCCTAAGGAGGCTCTTTTCTTATATTTTATTTCCTGTGTGTTTCAGCACTGTTTCGTCCATCCTGGGCGCGTGGCTGGACCAGTACTCTGAGGACTTCTGGAGCCCTCCCAACTACGAGTGTCTACATCAGCTCCTCGCTTACCTTCACCTCCACTTCCCTGGCTCGGACCTGGAGCGCCGTGCCCGCAACCTGCTGGCCCACTTCCACCGAAGACAGCAGTGTGAGCCTGATCCTGATGGTATGAAGGCAGGACAAGAGAGGGACACCAGAGCAGGCAGGGACTCCTTTAACATATCAGAATGGTGGTCCCACAGTAATAAAAACCTGAAGTGTTAGAATAAACCAGTTGAAGGCTGTGCACATTTCAGGTGGCTCTAGATGTTCAGTTTCAGTTCAAACGCTGAGATATTTGTTGCTGTAAAGAACAAAGAAAGTGTTGGCTCAGAAAAAGTGCAGGAGCTGTGTTAAGGTTGAGCTCAGGTGGAGTCAGCTGTGTGAAAAATATATTTTTTTATTCTCTTTAGGGGAACACATCGGCTGCCCTTTTGCTACGCAGGAAGAGAGCGGCTTTGAGGATGAGCTTCCTGCTTTCAGTTTCCTGTCGTTTGACCCCATCATGGTGGCAGAGCAGTTCACGCTCATGGACGCGGTGAGAATCTTTCCTGTCCCTTTCAGCACAGTTACCTGGTGGTGTTGATTCTTAAGATCGTATCTGCACCGCCTCTCTTTAAATTAGAAATAAGTATCGATTTTAACTCCCCTCTTTCTCTGCGTCCATTCAGGATCTGTTCAAGAAGGTGGTTCCCTACCACTGCCTGGGGGGGATTTGGTCTCAGCGGGATAAGAAAGGTAAGGAGCACCTGGCTCCCACCATCAGAGCCACCGTGGCCCAATTCAACTCTGTCACCAACTGTGTCATCACCACCTGCCTGAGCAACCCGGCACTGAAGCCCAACCAGAGAGCCCGTCTGCTGGAGAGGTGGATAGAAGTTGCCCGGGTGAGACTTCTGGTTTGCTGAGCTCATGTGCTCCTGGGACTGACGGCCGTTTTGGTTTGTTTCTGACTGAACGATTGCTGTTTTCAGGAGTGTCGAATACTAAAGAACTTCTCCTCGTTGCGAGCCATCCTCTCCGCCCTGCAGTGCAACGCAATCCACCGCCTAAAGAGGACCTGGGAGGAAGTGTCACGGTAGGTTTCGTGCCCGCCTGCAGGCTCTGCAGAGTGATTGTTGTGCGCTGACCTCTTTGTCCGCCTACAGGGAAAGTTTCCGAACCTTCCGCGAGCTGTCCGAGATCTTCTCTGACGACAACAATTACTCCCTGAGCCGAGAGCTGCTGGTGAAGGTGAGTCACAGCAACAGATGTAAACATAACACTGAGGGGGTGCACAGTGAAAACGGAGGAGGTGTATTTAGCCGCTGAAGGAAAAGCCATCTTCACAATAATACGCAGACAAATCCGTTTATGAGTTACATAACAGTAACACGTGGCAGCTGAGCAGGCGGCGGGAGGATGCACGGCTAGGTGACCCTTTACTGTCAGTATCCTTCCTCACAACAGCTGCAGCCAAGCTTCCTGCACATCAGAGCACCTTGTTCTGTTACTTTTGGACAACAGGATCCATATACGATGTCCAGGGTGGGCTCTGTGCAGCTGACAGGTTGCTGTCATCATTAGTGCGATATAGTGGGTTTAATGCAGAGACCTGTTGACACCGTCAGAGTGTTTTGCTCGTATTGACGCATTCAGTGGAAGGTCAGCAGGAGCTGATTCATAAATTCAAGATATTTGAGTGAGCAGGAAATGAGATGACAGATCAACAGGCTGCACATGCTTTCCGCTGCTCGTCTTTACTCTTTGACTTTACTACACAAGCTTTGCATGATTCACAGGTCAAAATAATGATTATTTTTCTTGCACTGGGGCTTTGCATTCGTCCTCTGTCTGAAACAAGCTGTTTTAATTCCTCCGCCTTTTACACCAACTCGCTTTTGAGTGGCTGCTGCTTGTAAACAGAAGGTCTGAAGAGCAGTAGGGATGTTTGGCTTTTATCGCACAAGAAACTTAGACTGAAACAGGACTTAGTTGCACTTATGCTGCAGCGCTGTCCTTACAATCAACAAGTTTTTAAGTTGTCACATTCTGACATTTGCACGCTCATAAAGACTGCTCAATTTTTAGGAAAAAGCTCATAATCATTGTAAATAATTGCAATCACCTATTTTTAACCTGAGAAGTTTTCTGATGTAATGCTGAGTTAGTTAACACCCGCGGCATCCGCTGAGGGAATCCCTGCTGACGTCACAGGGAGGAACCCTTTGGCAGGTGTAGATAACGGCTCCAATATGTGAAAGCAGACCTCAGGGCGTCGCCTCTGTCTATCTGCTCGGGACAGGCCGCGTTGACTCGACTCAGTTGGCTCGAGTTGCACGAAGCTCCGGAGGCCTCCGGGCATTACATCACTCTGAGGAATGCGCAAGGAACGGCAAGGAGGTGGATTTTCTCCCAGTTTTTACTTTGAGGTCGTGCAGATGTTTTATTTTTTATTTCAGAACAGGTTTTAAAGATCTAATCTGCTGTAACACATAAACGAAGTATATGAAGTTTAAAAAGCTTTTGGAGAAAAACATCCTTGAAGGGAGGTTCCTGGTTAAAAATCGCTAATGACAGGAATGAAATAGTTATAGTGTTTCTAAAGCTTGGAGAATGTGTCAGGTTGGAGTTGAGTTGAGTTAGCTTGTAAGATGTGCGTCATTTCTCATTCCTGGATTGCACGTCCTCGACTCCTCTCCCTGGTCTCAGTTCCTCCCACGAGAGATACGAGCGGAGGAGGCGAAGACGAGGCATGAGGAAGAAGGAGTCGAGGCGGAATGAGACGTCCTCGCTTCAGAGCCTCATTTTAAAGCGATGTCACTGAAGACCACATTTGAAACACCTGCATCTTAAATGTTATAGCTCGACTACAGCTATGTTCAAAGTTGCCTAACATTATATTTTAGAAAAGGCCAAAACTGAGCATTTTGATCTGGGTCAGTCAGAATGATTATTTTTCTTTCAGTTTATATATGTTTTATTGTTTAGTGTGTTATCTGTCATTTTGTGGTTTTGGGAAACGCACAACAAAAATTAATCTAACTGTATTACAGGAGAAATGTGTGTATTCAGAAGTCGTTTAAAGGAAGACAATATGGGATAAACTGTGTCTGATGTTGAATTATGTAGCACCGGGAGGATTTTTGTCGGGACGTTTGTTTTTCTGCAGAAGTGAGTGAGCAAAACTCACTTATTGCGCCTTGGTGGAAGGAGGGTTGGGTATTTTTAGTGTTTGGCCTCTATTTTGCACATTTGTGATTTTTAGCATCCAGAAAAACTTATCATGTGTTGTTTATTCTGCAGGAGGGCACCTCCAAGTTTGCAACTTTAGAAATCAACCCTAAACGCGCTCAGAGGAGACACCAGCAGCAGAGAGACCTGGTGAGACCACATGCTATCTGCTTGATGCTTTTCCACCAAAGCACTGCTTCAGGCGCTGAGTCAGCCTCCATTTACTTATTTTTCTTATGCTAACAGGCACATCTGCTGCAACCAGTACTCTATATCAAATCCACTTAAGGAGTACAATCACATTTTGAATGGGGGATTGGCAGCTGCTCTTCAAATTTAGCTTTCTGGAAGTTTTCTTACAAATTTCAACAAGCAGTGATTAGCCTAAACTCCTGCAGATTGCAGGACTACTTACTGATGAAAATCAAATTTTTCCTGCAGCACTGGTTTAAATAACGTTGTTCTAGAGAAATGGTTACTTGCACTCTAAATGCATGTTCATCTCCACGTGTTCCGTAAACAGGGAGTGATGCAGGGGACGATCCCTTACCTGGGGACTTTCTTGACGGACCTGGTGATGATGGACACTGCCATGAAGGATTACACTGAGGTCAGACGTCAGATGGGAGTCGTTACTGTGATGATTTTTGGATTTTAAACCCTCTTCCTGGGTTTGTATTTTTTATTTTCTATCACTGCTAATAATTTCTTTTCTTCTTTTTCAGGGTGGTCTGATTAACTTCGAGAAGAGAAGAAAGGTGAATTATTTCTTTTTGTTTGTTTGAAGTCATCATCAAAAATAATCTGGCGGTCCAAATCTCAAAGTCAAACCCTTTTTTCGGCTCTGCCCTCTTGTTGCAGGAGTTTGAGGTGATCGCTCAGATCAAACTGCTCCAGCTGGCCTCCAACAACTACAATTTCACTCAGGACAGCCACTTCAGGGAGTGGTTCGCCGGCGTGGACAAATACAGCGAGGCAGAGAGGTCAGTCATCACAGGCTCCTCCCTCTGTCTCTGACCCCGGAGGAAAGCAGGAAATCTGGCTGTTATTTTGATGGTGGTTGGATATCTGCAGTCATCCTTTAATTCTGACAGTGAAAAGGGGAATTTAACAAAACTTGGTGCCGTGCTTTAAAAACAACTAATATATATATAAACCCTCAAGTTTTGGCAGGAACACATGAAATGTTCACATGTTCCAAGATTTTTAGGAGTTTATGAAATGATTCACAGCACTGGCTGCCAGCATGAAGCGTGGGTTATTCAGTTTGTCCTCAGTTTTGCCGTCAGGATTAAAATATCTGCGTTTTGATGAAAATGGTGAAAATATCATTTCAGAGGAGGCGGTGAGGGGTTTAAAATAATACAAAACCATTAAAAATGACAGAATTATTTATGGAAGCAGTGGTGAAACCCACCAAATTTACACATCTGCAGGTGTAATGACCCAGCTCAGTGTTATCGGTGCTAACCGTGTTATCCTATCTCATCCTTGAGTTATGTCTTTGAATTCCCATTTTCTCTCTTGCCGTCCTGACTCCCTCCTGTTCCCGCAGCTACAATCTGTCCTGTGAGATCGAGCCTCTGTCAGAGTCGGCGAGCAACACGCTCCGAGGCAAGAAGAACGGAGGAATCATGAAGCGCTGGAGCGAGTAAGTCGCAGCGTTAATACCATTGTTTTAAACTTGACCACCAGTCTTATTTTCATAACCCTCCTGTTACGGTGTCATCTGCAGCCGACAGTTGACGGAGGCCGGTTGCAGCAGTGCCGCAGGCTCTCACTCCAAGTCCTTCGACCACTCGCACTACAGGCCGTACCAAGGAGGAGGGGGGGACAGCGGCGACGCTCTCAGCGTCACCTCTGTCAGCTCGAGCGGATCAGACCTGGAGGATGTGAACGCCAGCTTCCTGTCAGACTCACCGGAGGGACATGAGAGAAAGGTAGAAAAAGCTGCACATTTTTAAGCAGCTGTTTGTGAGGAGGGAAAAAAACAACAGTGGATCTGCTGGATACGTTTCCTCATGTTTGAAGTCTTTGCTTTGAGCATAAAACTCGAAAGAAGGACTCAAATGGAGGACAGGGAAGCAGGCTGAATACAAAAGGGCGAGCCTTTATTGGACAATGTTAACTGCTACAAACTACAAGAAAACTTCAGCGGGGAAAACAAAACCGAAATTCAAAACAGGGCAGAAGGAGAGTCAGATAATGAAGGGCAAACACACACAAAACAAAAGTAAATAAAGACAAGGAAACACTTTAGACAATGGAAAAATGTAAACACAAAAAAGAAAATCAGTAAAATCAAAAAAAGGACCAAAACACACCGAAACTGAACAGAAAACCAGGCCTGGGTGGGACCTGTAGTCATTTGTACTGAAGTCGTGTGACATTGTGACTACACCAAGGTTTAGCCTTCAAAATCAAGACGATATGAACGCTACGAATTATAAACATGTAGTTTAACGCTGGGTTTGACTTCACTGCTGAAATTCTACAAACATGAGTAAGAGTAGCCCACGTTGCCCCCTGGTGATCACTCACAGTTACAACAAACAGACGTGAGTTCCACAGTGTTATACTTAGAAAAACTCCCAGCGCACAGCCACACTGGGAGCTTAAGTCCTTAAGTCACAGGGATTATTCACAGAGCACATTTGTTCCCACCTAAAGTTCAGTTTATTTGAGCGTGATCTCTGTGTCCTGTGTGGAGAAAAATAATGGCTGTCATCGTGTCAGAGTGGTCTGGGGCCGCGCGATGACTGGTTCTGTTTTGTTTTCCTTTGTCCTCCTCCAGACGTCGACTCCTTCAGTGAAACTAACTGTCTCAGCACTGGGAAGAGAAGCTCCAGCTGCAGATACAACCTCAACGGTAACGGCTGCTATGTTTTTCTGTTCATTTCACACTGAAAACCTGAAATGGCTTGGATGACTGTCTGCAAACCAGACAGGGTGGGGTGGGGTGGGGTACTCGATTTAGAAAACTGCAAACCTGCTCAGTAATAATTGTCCAATAATAATTCCCCTTATTATTAAGAAGAAAATTAGCTACAGATACCAGAATCGCTTACTGTAGCTGTAAACATGTTCATGTAAAGTTGGAAACTTTAACATGAAGCATTGATGGGGACTGACTTGCTTTTGGAGCCGCAAGTGATCTTTAGAGGAACTGCATGAGGTTTTTATTTCTTCAGTATTGGCTTCATTTTTCAGCCTCTCCCACCAACCTCTCCCTCTGATAACCTTTCAGTTCTGGGAATGTACGTCTCTGTCGTCTCTGGACACGTCCGGGATGGGCTCGAGCTCTGGTTCAGCCTCCGGCTCCAGCAGCGCCTCCTCCTCCTCCGTCTCCTCCTCCACCCCGTTGTCGGCCTCGCGCTCACACAAACGCTCGGTGTCGGCTGTGTCGAACTACTCGACTCTGTCGCTGCCGTTGTACAACCAGCAGGTGGACGACTGCTGCATCATCAGGGTCAGCCTGGACGTGGAGAACGGGAACATGTATAAGAGCATCCTGGTGAGGGCAGAAAAACAGCTTTCAGGCTTTTTAAGAGGCAGTGAAGTCAGAGTTTTCTCTGTGTGTAAAGTGATGGTTAATAGTTAGGAACAGATGTTGATGTTCTGTCTGCGATTCAGGTGACGAGTCAGGACAAGACTCCGGCGGTGATCAGGAAGGCCATGATCAAACACAATCTGGAGCGAGAGAAGACCGAGGACTACGAACTGATGCAGAAAATCTCTGAGGACAAAGGTGATCATTTCTTTGTTTCATGTATTCATTATTGGTTTTTAACAGTGAATTTAATATTACGCTGCTTTTATGATACAAGTTCCTGATGCACAGTGAAAACTTCCATAAAAATATGAGAGTAATTAATAGTACACATGTGTTTTGTCTTAGTTGTTGTTAATTTAAAATGAATTTAATGGCCGATGTGTTGACTTGCATATATTTACAGTTTCTCATGTGGTGAAAGATAAAGAATTGATTTTCTTTCATGTCCCCCGAGAATAACACTGCTTAAACTCGTTAATCACCACTTGTTGCTTCTCTCTTTCTGACCTTCTCTCTTTCAGAGCTCCGGATCCCGGACAACGCCAACGTCTTCTACGCCATGAACTCCACTGCCAACTATGACTTTGTGCTGAAAAAGCGCGGCTTGGCACGGCCCATGCGGGCCAAGAACGTGGCCAGTTCGACGCTGCCTCGCATGAAACAGAAGGGACTGAAAATCGCCAAAGGGATTTTCTGAGGAGACTTCCTCTCTCCTCCTCCTCCTCCTCCTCCACTCACCCTCTTCCTCCTCCTCGATCACCTTCTCTGGCCTCCACTCGTCAGCTTCTGCTCAGGTGCTTGAGTTTTTGTTCAGACAAAAACTGGACACGCAAGAGGAGGAACGACCAAGCGCACCTCGGGAAGCAGAGGAGCACCTTAACACTTAACTGTCGCGTCGTCGGGACCCTGAGAGGACGTTAAAAGGAACAAACAAACGAGGCGTGTTGGCTGCTTCAGCCGGCTCATGGAAAAGCATCAGATCTCCCGGTCCTTTTACGTTTCGTTTACAGCTGTTTACATCTTAACATCAGTTGGTCAGATCAGTCGTTTCTGCACCTTCGACAAAAACGCTTTTTTTTTCCCTGCTTTTTTTTAAACCATGTTGCAGAGCCTCGTCCCTGTGTGATCACTCTGCGGTCTTCATGCTCGCACCCTCCTGCGTGGAGCAAACACTAACGGACAGAAAGGTGTCTGAATGTGATTCTACTTTTTCAGGGAGCTTTTGTTTCAAGCGCACCGCCGCCACCGCTTTTGCCCCGGTGGTCCCTGATGTCGACAGTGCCTGCAGGACTGCAGCACTTTAAGGTTTCGCTCTCTGCCGCCTCAGCATTTTAACACCAGCGACGCTGACGCGAGCGTGGAGAGATCTGGACTCTATAAACTCCTGAACGCTGCCATGTTACACATACACAAAAATAAAAGGTCACGTGGCCTGAAACAGAGACGTGGTGTCAAAACCAGTGGGCGCAGCCATGAATCACATGCCACTGTTTTCTTTTTATTATTATTATTATTATTATTATTATTATTATTATTATTATTATTATTAATTAATGAATCGTAACCACTACATGGAGAAGGATGCCACAGAGTGGGACAGAAACATGAGCTGAGAACAAGACACAAAAAAACTGAGTGTATATATCGATTAACACCATCTGTGCAGTATATTCTTTTCAAACGGACCACGAGATTTTGTTAACAGACTCGACGCTTTGTTCTTTTCTCTTTGTACATTTGTTTGCATCTCTCTCTTTGATATGGTGCTGCTACTTATCTTTCTGAAGACGTCATAATGAGCTGCACCTCACGTTTTTGTTTTTTCTCTTCCTCCTGACCACCAGCCGCCATGTAGGAACACAGAAACGTCTGAGGGACACGAGGCATTACAGAAATAATAAGTAAAAAGGGCCGCTCTGCCCGGTAGAGTCGATACTCTCTGTTTTAGCTGTGCTTCCAACATGGCGGCTTGGCTTTCATAACCATCAGTTTCCAAATGTGCCATGATGGGCCAGGTGAGCGCTGCGGTATCATCTGTGGTTTTTTACGTGTCTGTGATGGCAGCAGAGTCTTTCCTCTCTGGGCTCTAACTAACAGCACATGTGGGGGGGAAAAAGTAGCTTTGGGTGATTTTTAGGTTCTCTGTTCCTGTTAGCGTACAGAAGAGCTCCTGAATGTTTCGTGCGTAGGCGCCCAGGCGAAAGACTTGCTTCAAATATTTGTGGTTGGTATTTCCTTCATTTCCGCAGGTGCTAAATGACAAAACTGAGTTGTTTCTTACAGCAGAAACACATCTGATCACAGCTAAACCGATGCCAGACTAATGTGGCTTAACCAAGAACATTTGCCAGATCTAATACAAAGCGGTGCAGAGGTGATAAACATAAACTGTATACTAAAGATGGACATACCCACTGTAACGAGCCATCAGTAGCAGGGGGTGAATCAGCTGAGCGACTAAGAGACACCGTCATAGGCTAGGGAATGACAACCACCTCTAATGGGGACCATGGTTTCCAAAGACTTACACAATATTATATGCACTAATACTTGAATCTAACAATTGAGACCATAAACTTAAGAGGAAACTGTTTCCTGAGGTCATAGGTCATGTGAGTAGTGTGGTCATTTTCTGTAATAGAAGTCTATTTGCAGCTGCAGGCGTCGCCCACTGCTGGCCATTAGATACAATAAATGACATCAGAGTATGTCTGTCTTCTTTCACACTGGTGAAAAGAAAACATCAAAATCTGTTGCAAAGCATTCTGGGAAGTGGAGGAAATGGGAAATTAAAAAAAAAAAAGATTAAGTCATCGGAAACACGCTAAAATCTGAGGTTGGACTTTTTCCTGATGTGTTATTAATATCGCCACAACAACAAATCATCTGGCCTGTGCTGCGACCATGTTTTGCCTTTTTTGTTTGTTTTTTCATCTGCATGAAGGTCACGTACAAACGATCAAATGAATGAAACGCCTGTTAAAAAAGAAAAGAGTGATAGCAATATGGTGATGATGAGCTGGAGGCACGGCGTCCGGCTGTCGTGGGTGTTGTTTGTTACCGCTGTGGCGTGAAATCCTTCGCTGTTGAACACTGTGACCTTCGACCCTTTCACTCTGCCCTCTCTGCCTGTTGATCGGCGCGTCCTGTCGAGCACTGTGAACCCAAACGTCTCATTCCCTTCTAATGATGTCTTAGTGAACATCCGCCCTTTGCTCATCTCTCAGGCGAGCAGCAAAGGCGGCAGGCTTGACCCTACATGTGCCAAAAAAACAAAACAAAACATGTAAAGACAGAAAAAGGTTGAACAGACGGGTCCTCTGCCTTTTCAGTTTGTTTGTTTACTGTTGTTTTCTAGAAGAAAAAAAGGGGAGAACACTATGGAAAAAAAAAAAAAAAAATGTGTTGACCCATTTCCCTGTGGAGACTGTTGTCCGAGAAACTTGAAGCAGACGTGTTTGTCAGGCGCTGACGTAAAAACTGCACTTTCATGAAAATGTTTTTCATGTTTTAAAATCTTTGTTTGGCATGTCTGAATCTTTTTTTCCAACCAAACATCACAGGCTGGATTACACGACGTGTCACACCAGACTTTGAGATCTTATGACCAATTTCTAGTAATGAAAACAGCTACAAAACTGGCATTTCTATGCGGGTGAAATTGGGTCAGCCCCAAGTGGCCAATAAAGGAACTGCAGTTTTGCCACTTTTCTTTCATCTAAGCAGTTTGTAACTTGCAGAGGACCCGCTTACACTTTATTAGTGAGCTGACCTGACCTCAAGTTTGAAGTCTTACCCTCTTTAGCCTCAACTTCCTAGAGGAAAATAGTACACACAGCTTCTTCTAAAACCAAAACTAGCAACATATATTTGAATATTTCACTCGTAGACTGCGTCTGATGGCATTTTCATGTGTTCCATGGCCTCAACTCAGCATAGTCACAGCAGCATCTGTTCTTTTTTACCTCATGCTGTTGGGATTTTTATCCATTCTTTTCTGGTTATCTATCAGGGTCGCTGGAGCCTATCGCAGCTAACATAGAGGGGGAGACGGGGTACACCCTGTGCTGGTCCCCAGTTTGTCGGCTAACAGATGGATAATCATTGACGCTCACAGTTGCACCTGCAGCCAATTTAGAGACACCAATTAACTGAACATGCAAACAGTGGGAGAAAGCCAGAGTACCCGTAGAGAGCCCACGAAGGCACAGGGTCTGGCCGGTCAGTGGATTCAAACCCAGGACCTTGTTGCTGTGAGGCAATGGTGCTAACCAACATATTGTTGTGATATCATCCAAGCCAATCAGTGCAGCATGCAGCCTTCTCCCTTCCTCTTTACACAACAGGACCTTGAAAATTTCATGCTATTTCTGTGAAAAATAGTTTTGTCTCCTACATGTCAGTAATTGATTACATAAATATAAATGAGAGAACAAATCTGACAAAAACAATCATTTTTATAAACAATAAGGCTGTGTTATAATCACTATTTGTCTTACTGTCAACATCTATCACTGAAAAGATCAAAACGTCCAAGCGTTAGTCTGCTTCTGAACCATTTCCCCCTTCACATAAATCCACATTCGGCTGACAATAAGCAAAACAGAACATCCCCAGCCTTAGAGTTTCACTTTTCCAAACGTGACCTGAATGCAGCATCAGTTCCTTCTCTGTACTGTTTGGTTGGAACGAAACTTTCACACTTTGAGTCCTGTTTTTTCTGGATGTTTGGAGTAATCGGAAAGCAGGTTTTCTGCAGCAGCTCCATCTCTTTGTGTAAGTGCGCGGACCTTTGTGTCAAATTTCCTGACCCTGCGAGCATTTCTGTGCTGGTGAGGTTGACGTGATGGACCAGTCTGTGTTTCGTTGTAGCCCGTGCTGACAGTGACATACCTTTTTGTGATTTGACCTGATTCTGTGCGAGTTTGAACAAAAAAAAGAAAAAAGGCTGCGTTTACAAGGAGAAAAAAATACAACAAACTGGAAACCAGCTTTTGTGTGTGTGTGTGTGTGTGTGTGTGTGTGTGTGTGTGTGTGTGTTTTGATTCTTTTATTTTGTTCCCTGAACTGTGCTCGGGTGCCATTTCCCATTTTAACAAAAAGATTTCAGAACTTTTTCTAACTGCTTCTTTGTTTTACTTTCCCCAAGAACACAAAACCTGTGTAGAAAACAGAAACTGTCCTTGATTGTCTTTGTTTATTTATTAATTTGTATATAAAGATTTTGTTTTGCATTGTACATTCTCTCCTTTCTTGGTTATAGATTAATATATTCATGTATATATGAATAAACATTAAGTTTATAAAAGTAAAAGGACTTTCTGTGTCTCTTTTGTGCTTATTTTTAAGGAAAACCTCTATAAACTTTCATGATTTCTGTGGTTTGTTTTTTTTAAAACAGTACATCCGATTTTTAGGTATCGGAACATAAAACTGATCTGGCCCTTACTGGGTATTAAACTTGAGGTAAACAGAGCTTTTGATGACCAACATATTACATCATGTCAAATTCTATTTAACAATAATGAAGCCAAAATCTAGAAGCACTGTGTGGAAAAACTTCAGTAACTTGTAGAACCACCTGTAGCAGCGATAACTTTAAGACCTTATCTCCTAAATGACTATCCATCTCTCACATTGTGAAGGAATTTTGGCCCGCTCTTTTTTATAACTTTCTTAAGTTCCCACCACAGCATTTCAGTCAGGTTGAGGTGTGGCCTGAGCCATTGCCACCCCTTGATTCTTTCCTTTTTCAGCCATTGTGTTGTAAATTTGCTGCTGTGCAAAGATGGCATTTCATACAGAGGAGTTAATGGTTGACTCAAAGACTGTAAGGGGCCCTGGGCTCGTGGTAGCAAAACTAGCCTAAGTCATTAGCCCTCCACCACCATGCTGACAGCTAGTATGAGGTGTTTGTGTCCTCTTTGATGAGACGCACCTGAGTGCTTTCTACATGTGTCATCTCAAACTGGAAATCATAGACTGATGTCATAAAGCTGTTTAACACACTCAAAAATGCTAAACATGAACTCCTGTGTAAGATACAGGAGGTATGATTATTACCATGGTCATATTTAGGGTCTTCTTTTGTAAAATGTAGCATTTTCATAGCATGTCAATGGAAAATTATTATTTCATTTATTTTAGTGTTTTTTTGGGATGATTTTCGATGCGGTGACACCTAAACAGAGCTGTTTAAATTGTCTCACTAAACATAAAAAAAATTCAAATAGGCTGCTCGACGCGTATGTTCTACGTCATCTAACTGGGACAGAACGAGCTCGTCGTCACGTGCGCCTGCGCAGTGGCACAGAGCTTTGTTATTTCAGTATGGCGCTGAGCAAAACGTTTGGACAAAAACCGGTAAAATTTCAGCTCGAGGAGGATGGAGACTATTACATGATCGGATCGGAGGTCAGTATTTAACGTATTCGACAGTCTGTTGTTGTAAATATATACGTGTTTGAACGGATAATGCCTCGTTTAATCTGGTGACCAATCCGTTAGCTTATCTTAGCCTAGCATAGTTTAGCTAACGACGCCAGTAGCGCTGAAGCTCATTCATTGATTTCAGATCTGTTGCTAAATAATTTTAGAACCTTACCACCGGGGAAGAAAGTCCACCTATGTTCTGGTGTTTCAGATTGACATTTAACTTGAAAACTTGCACCCGGATGTTTGCTCGGTTTCTGCTCCCGAACTGCTAGTAATCAGCTGGGTAGTTAGCGGTGTTTAATATAACAAAAGAGATAATTTTACTCGATTTGTGTCGTTTCTGGGTCTGTAATTCAAGATGGTGTATCACCTGACACTTCACAGTGTTCTTACGGGTTTGTTGGTCTGTTCGGAGTTACGTAGCTTAAATGAACGTCACACCGTTGTAAAATTGTAGGGCTCATTGTTGGCAGGGCAGGTGTTTTCCAGTACTTTTCCTACATCCTACCTTTCCAGCTTTTAGCGAGAAACATCTTCATGAACAGTTGCAAGTTTGTTCTGGAAGCTTAAGATTTTTCTGCATTCATGAAACAAGGCCTTTAAAAACGTGTCTTTAACATGCACATTGTAGGCTGGAAAAAAAGCAGCTGTTGATAATGCATATTTGTTTTCCTGGCACAAATGGAGGGTAGAAATGACAAAAAAATATCCAGAGAAATGGTGTAACTACTAATTGTCAGTCAATCAATAGTCCTGATTGAATTTA